CGTTGGTGCGAGGGGGGGGGGGGCAGGGAAGCATCGGTAGGATTAGGTCCTTTGAAACCTGAATACCCAAAGAATGGTGGCTGCTGGATAGAGCGTCTGTATGCAGAAGTCAGCTGCTGTGCCCGGGGCTTCCAAGTACCCCTCTTCATGCCCCAGGTCTGGGTTCTGCTGTGTTCTTTCAGGCCACATAAGGCAAAGGAATGTATTCCTGTAAAATGCACATTGCATGTGTGAGCTTCGCACCTAGCCACATGCTCTTGACACTTAAATGGCTTGGAAAATCCACCTTATGGGAAGGGCCAATGGCTATGGGTGAATTTATTGCCTGTTTAAACTCATGTTGTTCAAGGGTCAACTGTACTTCTGTCTGGACTCAGACCTGAAAATGAGCCAGACTGGAGTCTCTGGGGACCCAATCCTGCACTAGTGCGCATACCACACCCCTCACACTCCCATTTACAACGAGGCAGGGAATGTACAATAGGAGGAAATTTCATCTGTTTTCACAGCCAGGATTTGATCTGAGGACCCTTCGATTTAAATGAAAACTGATCTGTCTGAGTTCCCTCCTTGTAGCCTCCTGTCCCTCACTCTGGGCTCCCTGCCCTGCGAATCTTTCTGGGCATCACTCCCACACATGGCAAATGCTCTTCCCATGGTGAGAGCTGATTTTGTGGGAGTCAAGGGGGATATATGGAGGCCCATCCTACCCAGAGATCCTTCTGACATGACGGGGAATGTTCCTCCAGTTTGCTGTGGCATAATTAGGCCCTTAGTCTCATTCCTGAGCTGACATTTCAGAAGTAGCCACCCACTTGCTGAGTCCTCCCCTTTTCAGCCAATGGGAAAAGCTGTCAGTTCAGGTAAGAGACTTATTTCAATACCAGCCAGAACAAGCAGCACTAGGGAGGTGGCAGGTGCACAGTACCCTTTTCAAATCCAAATGAACATGGCTTTGGAATTACCCACTTTGCATCTATCTGCCCCTCTCCAAACAGTGTCAGTAATGAACTGTTAACAAGCCAGACAGTATTAGCTCCCCTGGTTCCTACTCATGTAGGATGGGTCGCAGCAGTACACGGGATGGATCACAGAACGTCCGAGGATCAGAATCTGTGTATAACCGAAGTGCAAATACAGAGAAGCATTTAGTCGATTTAATCCATCTTCCTTCACCTCTTTCCCCTCTTTTCTGCTCACATTGTTACTCGGGTTTCATGCTTTGAGCATTCATCAGTTGATAGATATTTGGGTTGTTTATACTTTTGGGCTACTATGAATAATACTGCTAGGAACATTTGTGTACAAGATTTGGTGTGAACATGTATTTTCAGATCTCATAGGCATATACCTGGGAGTGGAATGACTAGGTCATAGGGTGATTCTCTGCTTAACTTTCTATTTGGGCGGGGGGGGGGGGGGGGTTGGGGAGTGTATTTATTTATTTATTTTTATGCTTAACTTTTTAAACTGGCAATTTCATCTCTGAAAGTAAAAGAAGCTATGAGATAAACTGGACTTCATTCTTATTAACAAGAAAGAATGAAGAGATAAGGAAAATTACAGGAATCTTAGCAGAACTAAATTACGTGTTGGAATTCAGATTGTTAGGAAAGGGAACACTGGGCGTGTCAGACAGGCACTTAGAATAAGAAAAGTGGAATCAAAACTATTCAGAGAAAAGATGGGTATAATTCTGTTTCTGAGACTACAAAGAGAAATAACTCACGACTGAATATTTTTGAAAGGTTTAATTGTTTGTATTTAGTGGCACGCTCTCCTCTATGAAATGAATATGAAGATATAGCTCAAGAGATCTGTTTACCCACACAGGGAGCTCAATAGTTTCTTATCAACAAAAAAATGTATCAATCAATCAATAAAAATAATGAAATTGACAATGAAAGGCAAATTGGTAGATTATACTGAAATTATAAGAAAAATACCAAAAAGACTAAATCTTAAAGATTTATGAAATGTGCCAAAGACACAAAAAGGGCTTTTGAAATACTGTATTCAGTATAAGGCTCACTGATTGGGGGACGATGGCCAAAGGAAGCAAGAAAGGAAAAGAAAGAAAAAAAAGAAAGAGAAGAAGAAAAGAACTGTCTTTCTTTTATTTACCTGTTTTTTGAGTAGATAACATAGAATTCAAAATGGAAATGGCAGAACATACATTAGGGGACATATCAAGCCCAATATAAGTGAGATGTCAGTTCCAAATTTCTGGGCCCAAAGGAATTATATTCCCCCAAAGGTTCCTTTTTGTCCACAAGATCATGTAGGTACTTCTGAACCTAACATTCGAGAACCTCTGCAGCCTGATCCTCACTGTACCAGTCCATATGAGTTACTCTCTCTTGGTGGCAAGATCTGAGTTTCAAACTGGGTCACATTATGAGATAGAAACTATGTTGCTGGACCTCCAGGAGCCCAGAAAATGCTGACTGGCTCCTCCTTATGGGAAAAACAAGACACATGGCCTGGTCTCACCAGGAGATGAAAGCCGAAATGCCACCCGAGACTGAGTCAGTTCCAGCAGCCACACTATCTGGTCATCTCATCTCAGGGCATCAGGGATATATCGCCACCATTCAGCTTCCCTTCCTTTCTCCTCTCTGCTGTCTGCATTTTCATTCTACTCTGAAGCTACCTACCCTGTCCCCTGCCTCTGCACTTCACACTCCCAGAGAAACCACCTCCATTGACCCAGAATATTGCACTGTCCCCATGTAGACAGAGCTTTTAGGATAGCACAGATCAGAAGTAACTCGCTGCATATTGATGGGCTGCCCTTGCAGGGCAAGTTATAACCTCTGACCTCATGCTGTGGCCAGGCATATGGCAGGTTGCACTAGAGTCACCCACGTATAAGAAATCATTTCAGACTGCTCTCAGTTATCCACTTCATGGGCCAAATTTATCATCTAATTCTTCTCAGTATACACCCTCAATCTTACTGCTCTGGCTTTACATACCTCTAAACACAAGACTTAGTCATTTGCTCATTCATTTATTCAACATTTATGCTATGCCTACTATTTTCTAGACATTGGAGATGAGTGAATAAAATACAGCACTTATCTTTTAGGAGTTTGTGGACTAATGAAGGAGGCATATCCATGATTCAGTGTGACACATGCTGAAGTAGAGGCATATATGTGCTGCTGGGGGAACCTTTGGAAGGGCATCACCTGCTCAGACTCTGTGTGTGTGTGTGTGTGTGTGTGTGTGTGTGTGCACGCGCATGCGCACACACACACAAAAGGGCTATTGGGTTAAAAGCAGGGAGAAGTAGGAGCCACTCATCACAGCAGGGGAGTGTGGGAATGTGAGGTTGGACTTGTTGCAGGTGAGGGGCCGTGGAGAGGGTAGAGACAGTCACAGGTGAGGTGAGGTCACGTGGGGGGAGGGTTTGTCAATACTGCTCATTTTATTGTCCATTATTTGCTCTCCCAGATTACACACATCCCTGGAATACCTTTGGTCACAGGTCTTTCTTTTTGCTGACTCTGAATCACAGGTTTGATGTTTCAGGATAAAGTTTCCCCTAGTAGGGCTGCTGCCACCAGCTTTCTATAAAACCCCATCTCATGCTGACGTCTCCTGACCAAGAGCAGAGAATAAATATGTATTTCCCAAACTTTACACAAAGGCGGATTTCTTCATTATAGTTATAAAAATTAATCTCTGTTTTAAGTAAATTGTTTTCAGGGGGTTGTGGGGGATCCTAAATGCAATAAGGTGGAAGTCCTTAGGATACCAGGTATCTTTTCTTACCCCATTTCCAGTGCTGCTATTCTTAGCCTGTCCATGGCTAAGGAGCTGCTTCTCCTGTCCTCATACCCACTTTCTTTCCTTCACACCAAAGCTCTCCTGGCTCCGTGTCTCCCAGTCCTGGGTGCAGCCCACTGTCCCTGAGGCAAGAGAGGCTCAGATGTGCTGAGCGAGCTGCTGGCAGGCCAAGTCCTCCCTGCCAGCCTCTTGGGCACTTCTTGGGAGGGTCGGTGACCTGAGAGGGGCTGTGATGGGCCTGGAAAGGCAGGGGAGGGCGACTTAGGCTCCTCTATCTTGTCTGCTCTTCCCCCAGCGATTTTCTGCCTATCTCCCTCAGTTATCTAGATTGCAGCGTGACTCGAACCTTGGGCCTACTGCCCTCCTGTCCAGAAGATCATTGTACTTCTCAGAGTATTATTTAAATATTGTTTCCTTTCCTTTAAAATCTGCTAGGCTTCCCTGATCGATTTTAGAGTTTCAAAACCCAAGTACACAATAAAAGATGAGCAAGTGTTTACTTGTTGAGCATCCCTTTCATTTCTATGTCTTACCTGGCAAGAAGTCCCACATCTGAGACCTTTTCTGCCCATTCCAGCCCACTGTTGCTGTTTTTCCTGGTTTAAAATTCCTGCAGTGTAACTATACATACTTCTTGTTTTGACATTCAATTACATGATGCCCTGAGTCATGTAACTACTCTCTGGGAAAATCTTGTCCCCTTGAGAGATATAGACTGTTTCGGGGAAATGAGCTTCTTTTTTCTTCTTTTGTTTAACCTCCTGGACTCCCCCCCCCCCCAA